AAACCTATAAAAAAAAAAAAAAAGATTTTCGCCCCACCCCTGTGCGAGTGGGCAGGAGATTTTCATGTGGGTGCTGCTGCCGTCGTCATCTGCGCAGTGTGTCTGTGTGTGGAGAGAGAGAGAGAGAGAGAGAGAGAGAGAGAGAGAGAGAGAGAGAGAGAGAGAGAGGGAGGAGGGAAAGAGATGCCGTATAGAGCTTGAGATCGTACCGTACGGCATTGTCTGTGTGTGGAGAGAGAGAGAGAGAGAGAGAGAGGGAGGGAGGGAGGAGGGAAAGAGATGCCGTATAGAGCTTGAGATCGTACCGTACGGCATTGTCTGTGTGTGTGGAGAGAGAGAGAGAGAGAGAGAGAGAGAGAGAGAGAGAGAGAGAGAGAGAGAGAGAGAGAGAGAGTACGCTCCTTGCTGTGTTTGCTTATGGGCATCATGTTGTAGGTTCCGGATATGAGTTTTTTTGTTTTTTTGCCAACGATGATAGTCTATTGCGGTGTTTTTCTTGTTGGTTTCATGCTCCGGGTTTCTGATTTCGATTAATGACTGTTGTTGCAATGTCGTGCTTTTGTTTCTTCTTGCTCTTCTCTTATATTCTTCATGCTGTTTCATTGTTAATTGTCATTCCTTGCTTTTCTTCAGTTGGTTGTGTCTTTCTCTGTTGTGTCCATGTTTCTTTCTTTTCTTTTGTGGGTTTGTTGTTGTTCCTTTACTTTTGTATTCCTTCTGGTCGTTGTTTCCTTCTTGTGCTGCACTGTTGCTCGCTTTTCTTCAGTGGTTTCGTGTGTTTCTCTGTTGCGTTCATGTTTCTTTCTTTTGTTCTGTGGGTTTTCTTGTTTTTTGCTTTCTCGTCGTTGTTTGCTTCTTTGTGCTGCACTGTTGCTGCTTTTCTTGTGTTTATTCTTGTTTTTTCCTTCCGGTGTTTGTTTGCTTGTCTGCTTCTTTGCGCTCTTGACTGTGTCAGGGTAAAGAGACGGACATCATGGATCCGGCCGAGGCCGGCCGGCAGTGTGCGTTCTACGATGAACTGGACGCTATATTTAAACAAAGGGATAAGTTTGCGTCTCAGATGACAGTGGAAGGAGAGCAGGGCCAGCGGAGGATGCTCTCTGGCAACGGTACAATTATGGTTGGATCGGAGGAGGAGAGTGAGGACGACACGGAGGAGGAGGCCGACACGGAGGAAGAGCGGAAACAGAGGAAGAAGAAGCGGAAGAGGATGACGATCGAAAACTCGAAAGCGCTTGTGATGCAAGAAGTGCTGGCCGATTTCTTCCACCGACAACAGAAATTGGAGGAGACATGGCGGCAGGATCTTGAGCGGAGAGAGCAAGCGAGGAGGGTGAAGGAAGAGGAATGGAGGGAGGCAATGCAGAGGTTGGAAGAGGAGAGACTGGGTAGAGAGAGAGAGTGGCGGGAGAGGGAGGAGATGCGCCGTGCACAAGAGGATGCTCGCGCCGAAAAGAGAGATCAGCTCTTTGCTGCTCTAATCGCGAAGCTCACGCAGGGATTGTAGAGCGGTTCACGAATATGAAGCGAAAGGGGTCAGTAGCAGCGGCAGAGACAGCCGGACAGCAAGCGCAGCTGCGGTTGCTGGGCAGCGGACAGCAACGAATGCGTCGGAAGGAGGCATGCCGCACGTGTGGGGCAGTTCTTATGCCGATTCTAGTGATGCGAGATCCGGGCTGGGGAGGCTGCTCTCATTGCGAAGCGCAATTCTGACTCTTAAGTCCAATCAATCCATAGCGAAAGAGGAACATTGGCAAGCATAGCAGCAGTAATGGTGGTGGCAGTGGGGGCCATTGCAGGGAGATGCGAGTGCCAAAAGGTGTGGGTGATTGGATGCGGAGCGGGGCATTGGCAGGGACACAGGTGGCAGCGACAATGTGTCATCCAACCAGTGTGCAGGAAGACCGCATCCGCTGAACACCCCCCTCCAGGAAACTTTCTGCAGACCCAGATATGCTAGTGCTGTTTTTGGTGTACATTTCTTCTGTGTATTTGGAATTCGATATTCTCCGTGGTGATGGCGCTCTGCTTCTTTGCGACAGAGGTGAGGGGGGTGGACAGGAGTGCCGATGATACGGATAACCAGGAGTGGGAGGGTGAGAGGGAATTGGGGCAAGGGCAGAGGGGGGGGGGGGGGGGGGGGGGGGGGGGGGGGGGGGGGGGGGGGGGGGGGGGGGGGGGGGGGGGGGGGGGGGGGGGGGGGGGGGGGGGGGGGGGGGGGGAGGGATGAAGGCAGATGGCTGGGCAGAAGCATCCACTCCAGCTGAAGATGTTGGACAGATTTGAGGTGAGCTACACTTTTTTTTTTTGTATGCGGCTGCTCTGCATTTCAGATAGGCACATAATTTGGCAGAGGAAGCAACAATTCAACCCATTGGTTTTTCTTTCTCTGTTTTTTTTTTTTTTTGTCTTTGTTCCCTCTTCTTAAGGATATCAGCCCACGGTATCGATGAGTACGATGGCAGTGATAGGTCTCCCGAACTGCCCCCCTACCTACTGGTAGTGGCTCATCAAGCTGGTTGGAATGCGCTCATGCGCTTTGTGGTTCTTCAGAGCGCAGAGTGTGCGAGGTTTCCTCCCTACTGCCGGCCGGTATTCAAAGAGCTGGCAGGGAGAAGTGGACAGGGGGTAGAAGAGAGACTGGGAGAGGAGTGTGGCGAGAAGGTGTAAGACTTGTGTACTTGGAGGCGGGAGATGTGTGTGTGTGTGTGTGTGTGTGGTGGGTGGGGGGGAAAGGGAGAGGTGTGTGTAAGTCAGGGCGAAATTGGGGTCGGAAGGTGTGGGGACCGCATTGAAGGGGTGATTGAGAACCCTCTTTTCTGTATATTCTTTTGAGTAATTGGTTTTTTGCTCCGTGACAATCAAATTCACTAGCCTTTGCCTCGGGTGGCAGCTAACGCGTCCAAGAGGTGGTCTTGTGTTCTTTTACCTCCTTCCCTCCCTCTCTGTCAGTCTGTCACTCCGTTGGTCAGTCTGTCTGTCTGTCTCTCTCAGACACTTGTACTTAAGTCGTAGCACGAATACACTCGCTTTTTTTTTTTTTTTTTAATCTGCTTGCGCTTTGGGCAGGATGGGTAGCTGTCATGGTTCGAACTTTTGGGATATTGAAAGATGGAAGGTAGGAAGAGGGACTGTTATGCCGGACATAAGAGCAACCAGTTCTATGCTTCACGTGCAGTATGCGGAAGGAGCAGACCGGACAAATAAAATGGTGCAGAAAGAAACGTGGGAGTAGGGGCTCGCTGCAGCACTTGCCAACCCCCAACATGTTGAATGTATCGGGATCATGTGGTTGTTCACGTACACAAAATGTAGGTGTTTGGCACGTGTGGTAGTTCAAGTACACAAAATGTCGGTGTTTGGCGAGTGGTGCATCAAGGACCTTTGTCGCACTGGCAGTCTGTTTTCTCAGACCTGTGCTCGTCACACTGGCAGTCTGTTTTCTTGGACCTGCGCTGGCTCGTCAGGAGGCTGAATCCTTAAGAGGCTGTCAATTGCCCTCACAATACCTTGAGTGTAACCTGCTTCACCGTACATACTGCAACCCAGTTCTTTTCCTTTCAGGGACTCATGTTTGTGGACTGGCAGTAACGTAGTCGAATGGAAGAACCAGGGACATGCCTTACTGTGTATGTTATTTATGCATGAACTGAAAGCATGAATCTGGCCGCTCTAACGGCCACGTTCTTCCTAGCATGAACGTAGCACCCGTGGGGCTCGCCCTGAAAGTGTCTCTGAAGGAAAGCAAGGCCGCCTGAGATCATGGTTGATGGCGTTTCTTTTGACTGTACCCCTATGTGTTAACTATGGTAAACCACCAGTACCTAAAGGTTGTTACCGCGGTAGCGGAATCGGTCTGCACCTTGGGTCCATATTCGCTCGCCCCAGGGGGTACGAAAAATGCGGTAGGTAGTGGTGGTTTATAAACTACTGCATCATTTCTGAACAAAGGAAGCTGACTTCCATATCTCTCTGACAGGAGTGGTGTCCCACGTGAGTTCCGTCTCGATGTGTACCAAGACTCTTCCGTCGTCTCACGTTTGTCACACGTTTCTCACTCCAGTAACTGTGTGACTGCTGTAAGGTCCACTGACGTGGACTGTTGATGCAATGATATGCCCCTAGCCTCTCCAACACAACTGTCCAATTGTGATGTCGATTTTTCCGCTCATCGGACCTGAGGACAGTCCCCCATTGTACAATTTGAAGCGAGTCAAGTGACCATTATCGAGCTTCAGCTTGAGCTTGTTGAAACCAAATCCGGCAGCCCGTGGAAAAGTCAGGAGGGCTTTTCCCAAGAAATCAAAAGGTAAGCAGGACTGAACTTTAAAAAAAAAGCTGTGTCGCACACCGATCATTTTCGGAGTTTTTCCGAACGCCTCCCGAACATGTTCGCGTGTTAAAAAAAAAAAAAAAAACGGCCTTGTAGAGCACAGAAAGCTCTGCAACGGTGCAACGGTGCAACCCCATAATTTTTTATTTTTGTTTTGGTGAAATCAAAAGGTAAGCAGGACTGAACTTAAGGAAAAAAGCTGTGTCGCACACCGCTTATTTTCGGAGCTTTTCCGAACGCCTCCCGACCATGTTCGCGCGTTAAAAAAAAAAAAAAGCGCCGTTGTAGAGCACAGAAAGCTCTGCAACGGTGGTGCAACCCCATAATTTTTTGTTTTTGTTTTGGTTCGTTCTAGCCTGTGTAGCACGCCAAACATGTTGGGAGCTTTTCTGAACGCCTCCCGAACGTGTTCGGTCGAACATTTTTTTGTTTTTCATGGTTGAAAGAAAGAAAAATCTGTTTTTCTTTGTAGGTTTTTTATTTTTAACTCGAGTCTGGTTAGGAATTCGAGCATAACTCCCAGGCAAAAGTTGTTTGTATTATTATTTTACGTAACATATATTTTTTTCATATTTTTCTGAGAACTTTGACGATATATATATATATATATATATGAGTCGGTGAAACTCCGACGAAACAGTTTGTCACAGCCCCTCGTTTGTTGTCCTCTTCTCCCTCTCTGCCTACGGTTTACCGGGCAGTTCTATTTGACGATATATATATATATATATATTGTCACAGCCCCTCGTTTGTTGTCCTCTTCTCCCTCTCTGCCTACGGTTTACCGGGCAGTTCTATTTGACGATATATATATATATATATATATGAGTCGGTGAAACTCCGACGAAACAGTTTGTCACAGCCCCTCGTTTGTTGTCCTCTTCTCCCTCTCTGCCTACGGTTTACCGGGCAGTTCTATTTGACGATATATATATTTGATATATATATCGTCACAAATAGAACTGCCCGGTAAACCGTAGGCAGAGAGAGAGAAGAGGACAACAAACGAGGGGCTGTGACAAACTGTTTCGTCGGAGTTTCACCGACTCATCAGGATATATATAAATACTTGTATGCTTGCGTTTGGAGGGTTTTGGCACTCGTTCGCATTCGGGCACGAACGTCCGAGTTCGATCACCGAGCGCGAACAGGATGCTACACAGAACTAAAGGTAGGGCATGCGGAGTGGACATGCGGTGGGAACCGTGACCCGGAGAGCGGTGTCTTGGAGGGACCCGGCCCCTTGTGGAAGCGAACGCGAGGCGGGGTTGGGGAAACATCGAGAAAGTCGCTTGGCATCAGGAGAGGTCCAGCCTGCTGGCACAGACACATGCGGCATTGGGACAGCGGCAGGTAGGGCATGCTGCGGGGGCCGGGGGGGCGCGTGCTGCGGTGGGAACCGTTACCCGGAGAGCGGTGTCTCGGAGGGACCCGGCCCCTTGTGGAAGCGAACGTGAGGCGTGGTCGGGGAAACATCGAGAAAGGCGCTTGGCATCAGGAGAGGTCCAGCCTGCTGGCCCATACAACATGCGGCATTGGGACAGCGGCAGGTAGGGCATGGCGGCAGGGAAGAGATCGGGGCAGGGAGAAGATGATGGCAGCTTGGAAATGGCCACGGGATGTGACGTGGGATGATGAGCTCCTCTGATGATGATGATGATGATGACTCTGATGATGCTGGTGATGATGATGATGATGACAATGATGATGATAATGACGATGATGATGATGGTGACCATCTGACATGAAACATGTTTCTTTTTAATGCCTAATGGAACAGTCGAATCTAAATGCCCTTGCCCTCTGTTGTGGTGAAAATTTTGTCTCAATTAACAAGTATGTTGATGTTGATCATCTTTTTTTTTTGGGTAAAAAACATCACTTATCAAGGGCTTAGTCCTGGTGCTTGTGGAAAAGGGCGCATTACTTCCAACGTAATCATTGCTGATACATCAATCGCCTAAATAATATCATGACTACCATGGATGGGAGGGATGGCGGCCATTACGGATGGAGGGGAAAGAGGAGGGAGGAAGAGGGAAGACAATGACGATGGAATCTGGTGGCGTGTGTGCACGAGTT